CAGACATTTACAGAGTTTCCAGGGCAATGGGATGGAAAAGATTTTCCATACCTGTTGCCAAATCAGAAAGCATACAGGAAGACTAATGAGTCCCATTAAACAAGACTTTCTGTACAGGGAGGTCAGAAGGTGGCACCCCTGGAGAAGGTCTCAGCAAAGGAGCAGGCAAAGAGCCCGGGTCCTGCGCATCGGCTCCCAGATGGGCAATGGAAACAGTGAAAGAATACAAACACACACAGCTCCTGAAAATGAAGGCTGAGAAGCAAGAGCAGCTTCCACCTCATTGACAAAATCGAAAAGTGAAATGAAACAAATGAAAACAATACGCTGTATTTCAAATTATTGGTTATTTAGAAGTAAATGTAAAAGATGATTCCCCATGTTAGTAACTGTCAGGGAACAGTCTCTCATCCACTCCAAGCAGGAATGTTGAAATGCAAGAGGCTTTCTGAAGAGCCACTGGGGATATGTTCCAAAGGATCTGAAAAAGCCAGCCCTGGTGACACACGCCTGTAATCCCAGCATTCTGACAGGCAGAAGCAGGAAGGTCACAAGTTCTAGCCCACTCTGGGCAAGTCGATGACTTAGTGAGACCCTGTCTCAAAAATAAAAAGGGAGTGGGTTGCTGGGGATGTATCTTAGTGCAAAGGTCCTGGATTCAGTTCCAAACACTGGGGGGAAAAACAACCTTGAAAACTAGGTATACTCTTGAGCCAGCAATTCTACTCTTGGGAATTTCAACTAATAACAGCAAAGAAAAAAGTATTAGCGATTTCCAAAAATTTGCTTATGAAAATGGTTATTATAACTGCTGTCCAAAATAGAAAAAAAAATCTAACATGAGAAACTGAGATGGTTGAACGAAACACATACACACAATATTATGCAAACTTTGAGAGCAATGTTATAAAATACTGGTTATTTTATGGCATGGTTCATGATACATTTGGTAGTAAAACCATAAAAGCATATATATAATAACTCTGTTCAGATTTTTAAAGGTGTATGTGGATATATGCAACAATAAACAAAACATGTAAAGGACACACAACAAGGATTGACATCTGTTGGGGGGCTGGGAATTACAGGTGGTTGTAGCATTTCTTTTATTTCACTTGCCTATTTTCTCACCCTCCTGCAATGATCACGCATTACCTGGTACTAGGAGAAAAACTCTAATGTCATTAAGCACGCGTGATGACATGCACAACGCAGGAGTGCCTCCTCCCGGCAGCCCAGCACTCACCGAAGGTGGAGTCCTCCCCGAGCTCCTTGCCGTACTTCAGCATGCAGTCTCCCAGCAGCCCCTCCGTCTGCGGGTAGCCTGTGGTCTTCACCTGCCCTCGGATCTTCGACACAGTGTTCAGCATTCCTAGCTTAGCTCTGTATGCTTAAAAACATTGTCATTTGTAATTCCTTAAAGTTACTGGGTGGAGTGACAGGAACATATAACAAATGCAACTGCCCAAATGGAGATCACCTTACAGAAACACCAGAGACCCCAGGGGCAGGGAGCCTGAGCCACTTTTTGCATTTCCTCGGGACTTAGGATTCTTTACCAAGGTGGGTGCCAAGCTTGCTGTCACATGACCACGTGGAACACCGAAACTAGACCCATGTTGTCTCTCAATAATAGCAGGCAGGACTATGGTAAGTCACCCACGGGGAGCCCCCTGGGAATGCTTAAATTACCAGCTCCCCAGTGCTTAAATTACACTGTCCCCAGTGTATACAGACCATTTTTGCGGGGACCCAGTGTAAGTCAAGAATAGAATTGGGAAGTGGGTGTGTCAAGCTGCCAACTGCTCACCAAACACTCTCACCCTGCTCCCCACGGTTGATTCAGATGAGTGATCTCCATGGTTACGAAGGAGTCAGAGGCATGAGGAGACAGACCTGGCCTCTTCTCTTCTCTCCTCTAACTTAGGCAATGAGCATCTGGTAACTCCTGGCCTATGTGACACACTGTGCACTCCCAGGAGCCCAGAGGACCCCGAGATTTCCAGATCTGCCCACCAGGTGCACACAGTGTAATCACATAGGGAGGCAGAATATGTAATTGTGGAAATAAAGTCCGTGGGGGTGCAGGGAAAGGAAAAGATGCCAACACACTTGGCAAAGACTGAGTGATGTTCCTACAACGCACAGGAGCAGCATCAGGGAAGTGTAGAGGAGACAGCTGTGGTGCCATTGATGGACAGTAGGCTGGTTTAATCTGAAGAGAAATACTACTGGACATAAGGAGAGGCATCTAGGGGGAAAGTGACTGACTTGAACCCCATGCCACATGTTTGGGATTCCATTCTCACTCTGTAGGCTAGAGAGAGAGTCACATATCAACTTGTGGTATTAGACACTTATTTTTAATGAATTCTAGACTAGTGTTTATCAAACTTCAACATGCATGCAAATAAGCCAGAAATCTTGTTAGATGGTAGAGTCTGATTCAGTTGGTCTGGGGTGAGCCCAAGATGCTGTTTCCAGAAATTTCCCAGGGAATGCTGGGCCTGCTGGCTCATGGACCAAACTTTGATTGGCAAGGCTTAGGCAGTCGGTGTTGGCCTTTCAAGCCCCAGCCTCCAAACTCTGATCCTCCAGGTGCCCAAGCCCTAAGGCTCATCCCCTACCACACACACAGTAACACAGTTGCGCCCACAACACCCCAACCTCCTCCACACACAGTTGGCTTCTCACTGTGAGAGTGGGCGCACTGTGCACCAAGTGAGACCATCTGGACTCCCTTCCTCTTCTGTAAGAGGAACCAGAGGCCTCTTATCAGGGGATGCTTTTGCTGCTGGGCAGGGCCCTCCCACCTCATTCCAGAGGCGGTTCTTTGGAGCATAGTGTCTCTGTCTGACAGTGTCTTCCTGCATCCCAAAAATGGATGTAGGGGAGGCACTTATTACATATCTGTGGGCTGACACACAGGAAAATAAATTCATCATATCAATCACTTATTGAGACCAGGGCTTCCTGGATATATGTGATAAAACTTAAATTTCTTCAAATTCCAATTTCCTTTTTTTTTTTTTTTTTTTTCTAGGGATTGAACTCTAGACACTGCCATTGCCAGGCAAGCACTTATCCTACTGAGCTATCTCCCCAGCCCCCAATTTCTTAATTTTAAAGCGGTTATGTCTGCACTGATTCCGACAACCAAAGGAATTACGGTAACTATATGCAAATAGTTAAATTCATAGTAAAAATTAAAGGCAGCAGCAGAAATTAACGGAACTCAAGGCTTGGGCGCCCCCTACTGGTTCACATGAGTGACAATCTAGGAAAACACAAGGCGCACATGGGGAAGACCAAGGATTTAAAGACCTGCTGTGGAAAGGCTGATGTAACAGGGGACCCTTTCGCTTTATTTTTCAAATTTATCACACTTTTTTCTTTAGCATATGAGTAACAACAGGAAAATCCTATCAAATTAATACACAGGGTGGAAAAACATCACCCTTTAGAACAGGATGAGATATTCTTTTTAAAATTTTTAAAGAGTAGATGACTAAGAAAACATTCACAAAATACTTGGCAGCTTTCTGAAACACCTCACAGAAGGTGTCTTTGTGTAGTGCTGGTTCGTGCTCTGGTCAACAAGCCATCCCAGTGTGGGCAGTGGATGCAGAGGGGCTGCGGCTGCTCACGAGCGAGGATTCTCCTCACTACTTAGGGTTCCTGGATACTCAGCTTTTAAAAACTGGATTTCATCATTTGAACAAGCAGTGGAGCCTGCATCTAGATCCTGTCAATCAAATGCCAAGTACACTGCGGTCTCTGCCTGAGACAGAGAATGAGCACCAAAATTTCAAGACGTTTTCTCACGTTACCTGGATTTGGCTGGAGGTATTCAGTGGCCTTTGAAAGGATTTCTGCAACTGCTTTATTGGTAACATCTATTTTCTTAAAAAGAAGACAAAACATACAGAAATGTTAGTGAGTGGAAAAGTCAATGAATTCACTGAATGAACAGAGAAGTGATCGTCTTTAATTTAAGACTTTTAACACCACTGCGATCACTATAATCCAAGAGAATGTTCTCAACATTTTGGGAAGAGGCAGTATTTTCTCAGGGTTTTGATATTGGGATGTCACCTCCTCCCAATGACAGTGGAAGACACCATTTTTCCTCTTAACATTAAAATGAATAATAGTGTAATATTTATAGAACTGGAAAAATTATTATTTTCCATTGAATGACTGGATAGACTTGAACATCTCAAAACTTACCTTATCTGCTAGGTGAACCTGAACATCTACGCTTATTCAAGGGTACCATAACAATGACTCATCAGAAACTAAGCCACTAACAACAAGAGAATCAGAAATGTTAGTATTATAACTGAAGCACTTATGTTCAGTTATGCTATATTAGAAGACATTAACATTAAAGATTTCCCTGCAAGGTTAAGATTGAACCTTTTACTTTTCAAACCCTTTCTGGTTGTTAGTTAATAGAGAATATGCATTAGAGTTAAATATGAAAGTTTCAATAGCTTTACTTTATAGCATCAGCAGCCATAAGAAAATATAAAGAAAAAGATTCCTATTCCTAATAGCAATAAAAATATGTTGAGCAACAATGGATACTTCTTATGAGAAACTCACAGTAGCCACCAGAAAACTACATCTTTTGATGAGAAAATTTAATTTGGGGAAAGATGTAAATCTTCCCCCAAATTAACATGTAAAAGTAATTTAAGCCTCATTACTGTTCCAATTTTTTTTTCTTTTTGGTTAAAACTTAGAAAATTCATAATAAAGTTAGATTCATAATGCATGCTAAATTTGAAATACTGACCTACAAAAAAATACAAAATAAAGAGGAGAAGGCTTTGAATACAGGAATGGGAAGAAGCTCCTGAGCTTGACTGGGAACTCCTCTAAGGTCATAAACAAAAAAACCAAAATTCTGATTACATAAAAACTAAAAAATAAACAAGGAATGACACAATAGATGGCTTGATCAAAAAAAGGTTACAAACAGAAGTCTTCAAGGACACAGAATTCTCATTAAAAATAAATGCAAGAAAATATACTGGCAATCCACAAATGAGAAAAAAATAAATAAATTGCTTACAAACGTTTTTTAAAAATTGAATTAAAAGAACTTACATGCAGCAGACTGACCAAAAAATATGTTTAAGATCAATGACACCCAGTATTAGGTGTTATACAGGTGTGAAAAGATGGACTGTTTCATACAGGATGGAAGTGCAGAGGTGTAAGTGCCCAGATTAGGGCCACTAACCTGCCACCTAGTCTGTTTCTAGAGATTTTTCACATAGACACACAGTGGCAAAGGGCAGTGGTATAGAAAGGTGCCCATTTATCTATTTTGCATAGTATTTATAGTACTGAGAATCAAAGGCCACAGAAATTGCACTCAATAAGAGACAACCGGATAAGCCAAAATATCCAAATAAAGAGATATTCTTTAGCCAGGCAAAAAATAAAGAGGAAAGATCTATGTGCAATGGCGAGATGTCCACTGCACGTTGGCAAACAAGAGAGCAAGACGTAAGGTGATTTGTAATGAAAAAAAGAGTTTACTTTTTAACTTAAAAACTATGCTCTAGTAAGGATTTCAAGTTTGCAAATGACAAATTAATGAAAAACTTTATCCCCTGAGCTGAATATCTAAATTGGGAGCTTTGGAGAAATTTTAAAAACATAGAAAACAGTAATAGAAACAGTAGTGACTCAAACCTACCCTTGATATTCGAATGATTGTGTGTGTGTGTGTGTGTGTGTGTGTGTGTGTGAGGCCTCATAAATGTAAACTTGAGCTCTCTCCAGAGTATTCAGCTGTGCATAAAGATCCTTTTTGAATGTTTAAGAGAATTTTTCACCTCAATGTTTATGAGCATGACAACAATGTAAGTGCTTGGGAAAATTCTGTTCCAGATTGGAGGGGAAGTCTGAGGTAAGCCTATTATGTTGGGTTAGTTTGCGATTCTACAGTTTGGTCCACATGCAACTGGTGATATTATTTAAGGATTTTAGAGTTTTAATTTTAATAAACTAAATGTTAACTAGAACACAGTCTAGAATGCTGCTTCTGATGTATTCCACCCTCCATGGATGTGAAGCACCTTCCAACAAGGACCATGACAGCAATCAGAGAAGGAAAGGGTTTCCACCTTAGGTCCTCTGTGTCCTTTGAAAAACAAAAGAGGCTGGGAAACAAACCACCAAAAATAATTCCTACTTCAGAAGCCCCGACAGACATGCACACCAAGGTGCTTCCAGTCCAGGCCCAGCATCAAGACTGGCATGGTGATGCAGGACAATCCCAGTACTCTGAGAGGCTGACGCAGGAGGATCTAAAGTTTGAGCCCATCCTGGACAAATTAGCAAGATCCCAACTCAAGAAAAAAGAAAAATTAAAGGCTGGGGGTGTAGCTTAATGTAAAGTCCCTAGGTTTAATCCCTAGTACTAGAAAAAAATCTGGAAATAAATACCTTCCAGTGATAGAGAGTACCTGTTACACATGCTGGCAAACATGAGCAGTCAAGGCGAACAGGAAGTTGGGTAGATTAAAAACAAAAAACTTCAAATCCCCTATTAAAATGACTGGGGATATTGTGTATGTATGGGGGGGGGAGAGAGAGAGAGAGAGAGAGAGAGAGAGAGAGAGAGAGAGAGAGAGAGAGTTAAGACTAACAAACATAATGACAGTATCTTTGCACACCATCAGGAAGACAGGGAAGCAGAGAGATGGAAGTCCCAGGTACCGGTGGACTGAAGCAGGAACTCTGTCCTTGTCACCACTGCACCCACAGTGTCTGAAACCCAGCCACGCCCAACCTGCCCTTGACCCAACCCTGCTAAAAAATTTAAAAAGAATGTGAATTTTCCATTTGGAGAATGCAGATCTCTGTATCTGTTTATCATCAAAATTATTAACCAAATCTTATGTAAATCTCCCACGAGTGGATTGATAACTGTTTCATCTGTTATGTCACGAGAGGTATGTGAAGTCTCCTGATTTCTGTCAATTCTTCATGTATTTGTGAAAGCACTATTTGCCTGTAGTGCAAAATAATTTATAACTTTTATCATTTCCTGACAAGCTACACCAACTGCATCTTATAATTTTTTTAAGAAAAGCTTTCTTCTTCCATTCAGTGCTTTTTTGCATCAAATTACTTTGAGGTTATTATTTTTCTCCTATATTTTATAGCAAGCATTTATTATGTCACTTTCTTCCATTAATCTGTCATTTCCAAATCATGTTTTGAGTGAGTCTGATACTAACATGCTACTTCCAGCAAGTCCTTAAAACTTACAGTAAAACGTTATATATTTACATGTTTCTCACTGGTGGAATAGAACAGAAATACATTTTCATTCATGTTTCTTCTATCACTTTGGAAATTTTTTGAGGGAAGAGGAGGTAAACAACAGAGATCTTGGTCCATCAACTAAAGCTGTAACTCCTAAAAGATGCTGTCACATTTCGCATTTTCACCAAATCATTTCCTGGGTGATGATGTCACATGGACTATGGGAAGCCCCTAGGTTCAATCCCAGTACTAGGAAAAAATCTGGAAACAAAACCTTTCCAATCATAGAGAGTACATGCTATATATCGGCAAATTCTAAAAGTAATGTCAAGTATGTCAATGATGTGAAAATGCTTCCATGATTTTCAATATGAAAAAAATTTTCTAAGTAAAAACAATTAATTTTTCTCTCTAAGGCATTTACATTTCCTTTTCAAGCAACTCCATCTTTACTATATTGGTACCCTTCAGATACACATAATAATAACATTCATTACAGGGTATTTGCGCTTGTCCGTGGTGTGTCTTGCTTCCTTTATTCCCACTCCCCTCCCCTCCCTTTAGCCCCTCTTCCCCTCTTGGTTTACAAAAGCTTTGTTTACATTTTTTCTATTTTTCTCCTTGTCTCCTTTCCTTCTCCCTTCCTTCCTTTTTCTCCTTCCCATTCGAATATTTTCTTCCCAGTTCCCAATATCTATTATACATTCTGTTCCTTATTTAGGCTTTAGGTTTCTTTTTCTTT